CCTTGGGCTGTACTACTATTCACTGGAGGACTCTCAAATTACGTTTCACATTGGAGTGAGAATCTCACCTCTATGTGATTAAATACTTAGTATCACTGCACAGAAAGTTGATACACAACGTACTATTATGAAACTGTTACAAAATATATAATGAATTCTAGAAATTCCATTTTACTAGTAATTTTGCATTTATATTCAAAATATCCAAACTTTTTATGACTGAGAGAAGCCCCTAAGACCAAAGCCTTCAACACAACCTGCAGCAATGCAAAAGCTGTAAAAGTCAGAATTCTCACCATTAAGCAGTAGTGTCTCAGTATTTGATTTTATGACAAGCTAAGACCATCTAATGACTAGCTGTCACTGATGGGGGCAAGCCTGCTCCTAGCAATGACATCTGTCCAACTCCCTATAATCTGGCTCAGGGAGATAAGCAGGTAGAAAACTACTTCTATACCCAAGTCCTTAACTGACTCAGAGAGGGCTGGCTAAGAGCCAGCATAGATGCAAAGGAAATATAACGGATGTATGACTGGTGATGGGAAGAAGAGAGTCAAAGAGCTCCCTTTGACTAGTCACTAGACAGGCAATGGTTACAGTACTAGCTGAAACATATGAAACCTACATGGAAGTCCATCCGCCACCATAGCTAACAACTGTTGGCAGGTAACTAAGATAAACTATCAGAAAACTAACCCAAGAATTAAAAAAAAAAAAACAAAACTATTCCAGGTTAATAGGATGAAAAAGCCCAGTGGAGAATTCACTGCTGTCCAAAGCAAACAAGTGCAAGTGAAGACAGAACTGCACCAAACAATTAAGTTGGTTATGCTGCTCTGGAACCACAACCTGGAAATACTCAGAAAATTCTCCAGAAAGCCCTGCAAGCCCCATCTTGAAATATGTAATAAACAAGGTTAAAAAATAGGCCATAGGGCTGGAACAGAAATATAACAAGATGTTTCTGTCAGACAAAATATTATAATAATCTAATCCATGGCCTTTTGCTAAACAGCAATCCTCTGCTGACTCCATTTTGTGTTTTTGGACCCCTTTTATTCTCTTTAAGCTGTCATTTCCCATTTCCAGTTCTCAAATGCCTTATGCCTTCTTGTTCTGATCAAGAGAGTAGTGTATTTTAAAACCTCATCTTCAGTAAAGCTGCACACGCACAGCTTATAAGCAGATCTAAATTATAACTGCTCCAGTAACTCTCCTCCTCTTCCCTTCCCCACCTCACCAGAGATCTGTCCCCACAACTTTTTGCAAACAGGCACTTGTATGTAATAGTAGGGTTAATCAGTTCATGATTCAGGCAAAAACTAATACTACAAAGAATGATCAATTTTCAGCTAGATCAGCTGCTTGATATAGCTTACTATGCAACAGCATAAGCATCAGTGCCAGCCTAAGGAGAAGGGTACAAAAATGCAGCTGAAGATGAGCATGGCTGCATAGCTCTGACCACAGCTATGGACTCACTCTTACATATCACATTATAAAGCGTAAGAAAGAAGTGTCAGCTATGGCTTTAAGCTCTAGTTCCATTATAACCCTATCTAAACGCTGGCTAACAAAGCTCTATACTTCCTGCACCCAACTGGTATATTCCTGCCCTCTCTCTTACACCAGTTCTGGCAGTCTACCAAGTCATTTCAGCACACTAAGCTAGTAGAAAACTATTCATGTTTTATGGTTCAGTTAGTTTCCTGCCAGCTTAGGTATGGAAGGAAGTGGATAAAACTGCTGCATTGAACAGTTTGACCAGCTTAGGCTGCTTTGAAACCACCACTTTACTTAAACCAATTCAAGGGCTATGTTAACACCCATATTACAGATTAAACAATGCATGTTTAAGGTTAGCTTATACTGAACTGGAATTGATTTATTCCAAAACAAGAATGTTCATGAAGAGGTCTGCATCAGGCTAATTGGTTTTAAAGCAATTTAATTTCGTTTCCTACAACTTTCTTTAGGTATGGCCTCACAAGAGCGGTACAAACTGTAGCAGAACAAGTCAGCTTCTCCAGGACAAGCGCAAAGGTATACAATACCACTGACTGATCTGCACAGGCTTCTCAGACCATCAAAAAACCCAAACAAACCAAGAAGAGCTGTATGCTTCCTTTAAGAGTTTGTCTATATAGGGCCAATTTCCTCATCTACATCCTTTCTAAAACACACAAAGCAAAATTCTGAACAAGCTTTATATTACAAGAGGAAACATTGTTACCACTATTCCATCAATTTAGAACCCTGCTGCACTTTTTCTGCCTTACGCAGAGTATGACAACAGTTTTAAAATTCTGGTTTGTGACTTTTCTGTTGCAGAAACACTGCACTGAACTAACAGACAAACTTGCTTAATCCAAATAACAGAAGTACAGAAAGATGAATTTTAGCAGGCCTATAATATGGCCAGCTCTTGTACTAAGCAGATGACATTTATGATCCTTCTACTTTCTATGCAAAACTACATATTCAACTAGTATAAAGTTCTACCACTAATTCATAGATTAGATTGGGAATACAATAAAGCAAGATGGCTTATGGGCAAGTCTCAAGATTTCCTTACAACCCACAACAGTTTTTCACTGAAAAAAATACATACATGTAAGGGCTTGGTATGGGTCATTGTTATTCTTGCTCTTAAAATGGTGCTGGCATGAGTTTCATCAACATGCCAAATTTAACAACCAATTAAAGCAAATCAGTACCTAGTTAAATAAATATCATTTCCATTTTTATTATTCAATTAATTCAACCCCTGGTTAAGTTTTATCTTTACTATGGCCATTCAGTTCACTCTCACTGGTGTTTAAAACACTAAGAGTCCTACTGTGTACAGACCAGTGACTTCCACACAATGATAGATCGGGCCAATCTAAATCAGCACTGTGTTGATCCTGTCTTTGTCTTCCAAACCACTCTCCTTTCAATCACTACCAGAGCTTGCCTACGAGCTGGTTCAGGGAGTTGTATCAACAGTAAACTCAGTATAAAAACATGAGTCTTTTTCTGCCAGGTTATAGTTCCCTCTGAATTGACCAATTTGAACTGATCAGAGCCCACAAAGCAAGGGGACCTGCAAGATCACATGCCTGAGAAGGCTGGGAGATGAAAGACTGACCCTTTCAGTAACAATGAGGTACTAAATCAGCTCACTGTTCTGGGAAATTTCATCTTAACCCTACCAAAAAAAAGTAAAAAGTTTCCTGTGGGCTTAATTCATTGAAACAGTACACCTTGAGGTCAGACCAGCACTAGAACTAATGTAAGGGAATTGCAACTTTTTGTATGGACCATACACCTGTTTCTGGGCTGAGTAAAGCAACAGCACTAAAAGGCAGACATCTACATAAATAGGTATCAGACTCATAAATGACTTTTAGACATTGATTATGTCAGAGTGACATAAGTAATATGTCACTTGATGCATGAGAAATTCTTCTTAGTACTAACATGTGGGCCAAAGTCTTTCTAAGGAGAAATGAAGGCGAGATTTCATGGACAGCCAAATGCATCTAATAACCCCCTTTGACTCTTATATCGAGTTCTCATACTCACCAAACTCTTTCACAAACAAATTGGTCACTACAACAGCAGAAAAATGTTTCAGTTTTTAAGTTGGTTAGAAAGCTCAAGTAGCTGGGATCTGACAAGCACCACAAAGGAAGTAACCAGTGGGAGTACAAAGCTGGGAGCTTACCCCATTCAGCAGCAATCATTAAAGCAATAAATAATATTTTACTTTCTGCTGGCTTAGAAAACTGAAATACAGAGAAAAGTGAACATCAAAAGCAGTCCAGTGATGGAGACTGACATGCAAGACCAGAAGCAGAGAAGGGCGAAAAGGACAGGGAGAAGGAGCAAAAGGAGCAAATGAATCTCTTCTGAGCTGTCAGATCATATGTACTACCTCATCTAACCATACCATGAAAACTGAAATACGAAATTTACTGTCCGTTAGCACAAATAAGACCTAAATGCAATTTTATAACCATGTTATCGACCCAAGCTGCCTCATTAAAAAACAAAGGAATGCAGATGATCTGTGCCACACTTTCAAGACAAGTACATCTGCACAGAGTTAACTAGACTTATGACCCCTGTAGTAGAAATGTGAAGAATAAGTGGGTATGTGCCAGAATTTAAAAAGGATGGTAGTAACCACTGCTGCCATTTTACAGAAATGGCTTTCAAGTAAACTGAGCTGCAAAGTCAGCTACAAGTACAAAAGGAGATGGACAGGCAGCTGGCAGTCAATTACAATGAACTGGAGTAAATTACGTGCAAGCATTCTGACTGAAGGGCATTTCTGTCCCCACACTCCAAATGACAGTGGGAATATTTACACTGATATAGATGGTTACATATTTGGCTTTCTTTATACTGAGAGATAACATCATTTGCCTGTAGTGACTCATTCATAGGGAAAACTCCAGAAACCAGGACAGAAATTCTCAGTCACCTGCAATTCCACCACCAAGTTTAATTCATGTCAGGGTAATAGGATGGATACGTAAAGGTCCATGAAATACATACTGCTCAGGGGACCAATTTTTGTGGAAACAGAAATGTTACTATGTTTATTCTTAGGAAAATTAGGATTCATTACTGTAGGAAATACTACATCATCATTATTATTATTATTACTACTACTAGTACTATTTTCTCCTACATTGCAAAGCTAAAAGTACTTTAAAGGAACCCATAAGTGAGATGATACAAGAGGCTGATGTTTTTTCATCATTTAACCTAAGTTAGTGATTCATAAACCAGAAATAACAATGGAGTGTATGGGGGGGGAGGTTTGACATATAATGAAAACCAAGCAAAAATTAAAACACTTTCAACATACAACAGTAATTGTAAAAAATACAATGAGTCTTGAGTCTTCACTCATGAACAGCTTCATGGTAGGTTACACAATTTCACTATTCTGGTTTACAAATATTCGTATGTTGTAGAACATAGATGAAATATTCCTTCTTACTCACCTTTGGATCGAGTGGAGATATCCATCCCCTCCACCACCTCCTGCTCTGCCTTTATTTCCTCTTCAGCCAAGCTGCAGGATTCAAAAAGATGAATTAGAATAGTTATAGATTGTATTATTCCCATGTCTAACTTCATGTACAGAAGTTCAACATAACACTGTCAAACACAACTATATTAAAATTTCTGATGAAATGAAAGGTTTGCTGTTTGCTAGAGTATACATTGACCAAAACATGTAGAGAAACAATCCAGGTACACATGTATGCTGCATGTTACCAATTACAAAGGCAACATTTTCATACTAATGATGGTCTTGAAACATGTACTGAAGATTATGTCACTGTATGTACATATTGTATGTGACAGACAAACAGGAATTCTGTTCTTTGTAGCTCCTAATCTAAGGCCTCTATAAACTGTGTGGACAGATGCCTGCTACCATTTACACACTCACCAGCATCAGTGAACAGATTAGCTGAAGTAACAGATTTAGCAACACAGAACAGCTTGCAAAATTAGAAGGTAACATACAATTTTGAAAACTATTAAATAAATAATTTCAAGGATTTTGAAAGTAGACTATATAAGAGAAAACTGAGTATTTATAATGTATTGGCAATGCAATTCCACCAATTACTAACTATAATAAAGAGTAAATGGAACAGAGTTGTTACCATCATTCAACCATTCAATCTTACATAGACAGTTTTAATTCACTCCAAGCAGGATTAAATGATTAAGTAGATGACAAACTATAACCCACTTGCTGATATTCTACTTTTCTATACTGATGCCATTCAAAAAAATAACTCAATGAATTTGGCTATTTAAGTCAGTTTGGTGAAGGAAGGTGGCAGGGAAAGGAAAAAATAAGTAGAATGAATGTGGAGATCTGACTATCGTAGATGAAAGATAAAAGAAAACATATGATGTTGAAGCAAGCCTAAATTCAAAATGATAGACAAATCATGTTATGGTGCCTGAAGCAGGTATCAGAGTCATCCATTAATATCACCAGAGCATAACAGCCAAGCGGGATGTAGATCTTCTCCCCTGTAGTGACAACTTTCTGTCTAGTCTGTTAATGTAAGTTGTTGCTGATACCAGTTTACATTGATATGGCAGACTGTGAACTACTGCTGCTAGAGAGCAGACTGAAATTCCATTCAGCCATCCCAGCTCGAGGGGCAGCTATTTCTACCACTGAAGCCAAGTGGACAGCTAGAAACCTTTGCTTTAGCCACTGTGGTTAAATCTGCCTGAGACAGCTAATCAGAGCTCGGAAACAATACTGAGGACTTGGCTACATTTATACCAGAGAAACTCTTCAGCCTGACAAACAGTTTATATTAGCAGGAGTTTTGCTACTGGTATAAGTTAAAACAGCTTCCTAAACAAAGTAAAACTTCCCAGCAGAAGGACTTTTTAGTCTGGTATTTGTCAAAACTACTTTTAATCAGCTATCAGCTACTGGCGGGTTGGGTTGCAATTCCTTTCACACTTCTAAACAGGACAGTTATGTCAGCAAAAATTTTAAATACAAATTAGCCAAGCTCAGTGTATGGAAGACCCAAAGCTGAGAAGATCCATGAGCTCCAGAAATCATTATTCTTTACTTGTCATTTATATACAGCAATAATTTACAAATCAAGCTTTTTAAAGTCATAAAACACTGAAAAGAAGTTCTATTCTACCAGCATCCAATCTCCCAGCTTGTGGACTACGCTGTTAATTTCAGTAGCAAGAAAAGGCACCCATGTGACCAGAATTATGGTAAATGTGTAGCACAGTTGACCATAGCACAATGCTCCTCAGATTTATTTTGCACGGGCAGATTAAATGCATAACATAGTTGACTGTACTACAATGCTCACCGACTTACTATGCATGGGCAGACCAATTATACTGCACATTTGTTACACCCTTTCCCAGAGGGCCTCCAGCAAAGAGGAGCTGGCAGTGTGTTGCAGACACCAAAACATTTCATGCACCACTTGCCTCTGCCCATTCTCTTTCCTAAGCAATGGGAAGGGATGGGCTCACGGAATGGGTTCATTACTCTCTTCCCATGTTGCATTGGTTTTTTCTTCCCCTCCCCCCTTATAAAATCCTATTTCAATATCACCAAACTGTAACAAAAGCCATATTTTTAAAATACCTTGTATATATGATTAATAATGCGCACAGGCAAATATGTAATAATACACACTAATTCTGTCAAGAATGAAGTAATTTGGCAGTACACATTACCTGGTTTTAAAATATAGATCCAGTTTCAGCCACAGACTAGGACATACAAGTCTTTACAAGACTCAGGTCTAAGTCTTAAGATCATTTTATGCAGGTTGCTACTAAAAGGAATGGTTTCCCTAATCCCTATCCTCATGTTCCAGAAATCATGTTCAGTTTAACCAGATCCGTTCTGTTGTCTAGCTCGCTGTACAGCTGGATGTGCAGAAGAAGAAATGGGAGTGTACTACATGTGGGGAAGGGGGGAAAAAAAGTAATGTCCTTTTAGCAGCGGCTCACATTTAAGTTACAGTAAAGCAATCATAACATTCCAGACTCATCCAAACCTATCAGGTGCCATTTTGTTCAAATCACAACCAGGGGAACACGATACAACAAGAAAGATACAGTAGTTGCTGCAAGCCAGTATTAAAAGACACAGATTCGAGAAATGGGTGTGACAGATCAACACAGCAACACAGTAGCAAGAATTGTCCTACATCCCTGACCAAAGTAGCAGGGGAAGTTACAGAGCTGACTGAAGATGCTCTGCACCTCTGGGCCCAAACCTAGCACTGCGGGGGTGTTACTGGTCAGGACTCCTACATATTAATTACAGCATATGAGGTTTCTTCAGCTCTGTATCTGTCTGTCCCCATCTAATGAGTTTAATTAAGGAAATTCAGCCAGTTTCCTCCATTACCTTTTTGAGTGTTCTTTCAATAGATCTATAGAGACAAGAAAAACATTCTTCATAAGCAGTTCCAAGATGAACACAGTATCTTGACTTGACACACTGATACATCACATAAAAGATGCCTGAAGACAGCTTTCCCAAAGATTTGAAGCATAAATGAACAGCCAAAAATGCATTCACCACTTGACACAAAGGTTCTCCATTTTTCTTAGCAATGGAGGTGCATATATCCTATACACACATATGCACCCTGTGCATCACCCACAACTAAAACAAAATCCTGCAATTATCTACTATACTATGAAAACTGAGCCTTAGAAGAACAGATTGCATCTCCATATTCTCTACTATAATATAACTCAATCTTTTAAGGGCACAAACATTTAAGTATGTAAGAAAATCACTGAGATTGTTCTGAAAAAAATCAGAATGTTGGGGGGGAACAGTTAAATAAGCATATTAGACATAACTATAAAAGACTTAAAATTCACAGCTCTTCGGAAGCATCTCCCATTGTTTTATTTGCTGTAATATATTATGACTTGCACAACATGACATTGTTTGAATGGCGGCAGTGATGATTGTAGTGGTAATCTTTAAGACTCAAGTTTGTAAATACATGCTAACAATTCACAGCAAGGTTACAGTAACTTTTCTAAAGCTGACAGATCTTTTCACCTTTGCACCTTCCATCAATATAAGCAATATTCTGAAAATGTTTTATAAAGCACAAACTTCCAAACACAGCAATTTCATTAGCAAAAGATTTCAAATTAAATAATTCAAGAAAAACAGGTCCTTAATGACAGGTACCTTACTATTACCCACAACAAAATAAAAAGAAAATTAAAACCAGCAGCAAAGTAATTATAAACAAGCATCTAGTTCTATGGAAACAGTAACTGCAATGATCAAGTAGACTATTCCAGAGATTTTTATTTTGAGAATTCATTTTTGCAGGGCTTAGAGATGTTATTTCAGATAGCATGCATTACTACCATGCATGTGTACTATGAATGTGATGCTCTGAGGCTGCGGATCAGAAATCATACTGGTGTATACTCAATTAAGTACCTAGATTAATACAATAAATACCTTATGTCATTCTGAAAGCTAGTCTTATTTCCTCATTAAGATGAATGAACACAGAGGAACATATTTTAAGAACAATTGAAATTTAAGCTTTGCCGGTTTCACTGTCAATTGACTAGAACACCAATTAATCATTTAAAACTTCCCTACTCGTATTGACAAAGCTTACAAAAAAAAAAAGAAGAAATTGTTTTCTAAAATGTTAAACTAATTTGTTTCACACAAATTATTTTAACACGTCTGAATGAGAGGAGAAGGGGTGGAGGTTATTCCTTTGGGGATAGTTGGGTACAGAAAGAAAAAAAAAAAGGATTGCAAACACACAAGATTTATTGACACTTAGGTAAAAATGCAAAAAGAACTTAGCTGCCTAATTTTTAAATATGTTCTCTATTAAACTGAAGAGAGGGTGGGGTTTTTTATATGAAATTCAGATTTTCAAATTTCAGACCAGTAAATAAAATACTGACTTTTCTGTTCAGGAAAATCATTGCTGTACTAGTAGTAGTACTTACCTGAAAAAATGTACATATACAAAAACATTTAAAGCTGCTCTAACCTATATTAACTACAAAGAGCAATTAAAAGTTGCAGATGAACTACTGCACCTTGACATTTAACCAAGAAAAACTGACAGATATGGAAAACCACTCAAAACAGCTAATGCCCACGTACACAATCTAGATCTGCATTAGGGAATAAACACATTAATTTAAAATCAAGAACTATATATTTATGGAATTTATTTTTCCTTTTAATTAATAGAAATCAAAACAAAAAAACCCTGATTTAAGACTATAAGCACTAAAACTGAATTTCATCCTTAAGATAATTCCTGCCTCTCCTATATCACATTTGTGAGTAGCAATTCTAAAGAATGATTTCAAAAAACTGCATTCAATAAAAATTTTTAAAAAATATTTGCATGCCATTGCTGAATAAATAGCAGCTTTGTATAAGCACTCACCTATAACAGTCTCTTACTCATCGGTAGCTATGCTATTTATGCAGGATTCTTAAAATGGCGTCTGACAGCACTGCACTGCCT